GCAAAATTGAGATTAATAGTTACATTTTATTGTTGAGGGGCAAAGACAGGGCTCCATACACACATACACATTAAAAAAACAACAACAACAACAACAACAACAACAAAAAAAAACCCAAGAAAAGGGCACTTGAGGCATCCTGGAGGAAAGGGGCGGGTGCTCAAGCACCCTCCGCCCCCCCCTCTGCACGTGCCTGATATCAGGTGTATTCCTAGGACTGACGATCGGTATGCGTGTTTATTCCTGATCAACAATGTAATTAACAGTTCCTGTTAAAAGAACTCATCTGAGTTATCATTAGTTTGCTTTATTTAATGTCACAGAAGGCACAACACATAGTGCTGAGGTTCATTGGTAGGATAACTTGAAAGATCATTTCTTCCAAGATTAAACTTCATTGCATCATTAGCTCCCTGTTGCTCAATGCTTTGATGACACCTAAGATATTTTCATCTCAGAAACATAATTCACTAATGTTTAGTGGTCATTTCAGCTCTGGAAATGTTAGCATACCAAGCTGAGCCCAGCCACATTCCACTGGTTCCTCCTTTTTACCAATTGTTGCAAAATATTATCCCTCAGGTTCCAGTTCTTGGATAAACTCCAGCCTGTTGTCACCTCTGCATCCCCCTCCAGTGTGATGAGCAAGGAGATCCAGGAGAAGAGACTGAAGGGGTGACTTTTATTTAGGAAAAGTCGTCTGTGGAAGTGAGGGCTGCAGAGCCGCTGACAGATGGGGTGCTTCACTGCATTGAAGGCTCCAGATAGATCCTGCAGGACCACCGAGATGCAGCTCTTGCAGTTTGCAGAAGTTGCACTGCACTGAGAAACCAGAAAGGTATTCTGTGTGAGAATGTCAGAAAATGGATTTTGGTCAGCACAATTGAAAAATTAGAGGAGAGAGGCTGGCTTGTAGTTTTACTAAAGGTCATAAAAATATATGGCTTCTTTTTGGAATTGAACTAACCCCCCCAGAAACCCCCAGCACTCCGCGGTCTGGGGGAGCCTGTCACATTTTGTACAGTTATATCATTTGCATTTATTAAATTTTAAATTTGTTGTTATTATGTTAATATGTAATTATTTGGTGAATGTTCTGTTGTGCTATATATCCTCAGACCTGCTGCAGAATAATTTATATCTCTGAAGCAATCATTTGTATCTCTGACACTATAAAACTTACACAATATCTCACAATATGCATTTAAATTTCCTAGTGGAGGAGTTGACTGAAGAAGACAGTAACTGAAAGAACACATGATTAAATTAACAAATAATGGCTGTATAACCTTCATTTGTATCCATATTGCATTTAAACAGTTTGTTTATACAGTGTATAGCTGTTTGTTATAAATGTTTCTCTTCATTCATGATTCACAGTAAAATCTTTTTCAGTTTGTCTCCATAGAAACAATGTAAAGCGCTGATGGAGGAAGGCTGATGGGGCGTGCATGGGGGGGGGGGCAGACTGGGAGGATTTAAAAGAGCCAGTGTAGCCCTGCTGTAAGCTCAGACACTCCGCCGCTCACTTTGGGTGAGCATCTGTCTGGAACAGGAAGCGATACCCAACTATCCCTCCATTTTGTTTGATTTGCCTGTTTTGATGGTGACTTTGAATTTTTCTGCAGAGACAGACGTGTTGGATTTAAAAGGTTACTTAGCAGAAAAGACCATGGAGAACAAGACGAGTCCAACGACACACTCATACTCAGGGCCGCCACTTGCTGCCATCTTCTTGGTCATCTTCATCCTGGGGTTATTCGGTAACGGACTGGTCATCATCATCATCTCAAAGTTTAAATCCAAGCAGGGAGGTGCTAACAGTTACATCAGACACCTGGCCTCGGCAGACTTGCTGTTCATGCTGACGTTGCCACTGTGGGCAACAGAAGCTTTTCTTCATGACCACTGGCCATTTGGATGGTTCCTCTGTAAGGTCAGCAGCTCCATAGTACAACTCAGTATGTATGCCAGCATCTTTCTCCTCACCTACATGAGCTTTGACCGCTACTTTGCCATCGTGCGGCGAGTACCCAGCAGCCAGCGGTACTCACAGAAGACCATGCTGGTCTCGCTGGGGTCCATCTGGCTTTTGTCCTTCCTCCTGACTACACCCACAGCACTCTTCTGCACCACAGAGACTACGCCTGAGAACCATACATACTGTAACATGAACTTTAGCCTTGTGGTGTCAGCACCAGAGAAGGAGATTGGCTGGAATGTTGGACTCAACATCTTACGCACAGTGGTGGGATTCCTGGTACCTTGTCTATCCATGAGTATCTGCTACTGTTTCATCGGCCGAGCCTTAAATCACCACTTCAGTGCTGTGCACCAGGAGGAGCAGCGGCGTCGGCGGCTGCTGAAGACCATCAGCATACTGGTGGTGGTCTTCTCCCTCTGCTGGGCACCTTTCCATGTGGCAACCACAATTTACTCCCTAATCCGTCTGCACCTGATGTCCACCAAAACCAACATCCTGGTTCAGCTGGCCTTCCCCTATACCATCTGCCTGGCTTTTGCCAACAGCTGCCTCAATCCCTTCCTCTATGCCTTCTTTGACCTGCAATTCCGCACCCACTGCCTGCAACTTCTCCACCTGAGGAAGGGTACTACAGATCCTGCAAAGATTCACAGCTCCCAGACCCAGAGCTCTGAACAATGTACTGTGGCTACCACAGTGTGAAGTGACAGGGACAAACCGATGTGAAACACATAAGTGGTCAATGTGAACTGCTACTGTCCTCTAAGAGACTGATCTTATTTCCACTGGAACCACATCTCTCTCCGAAAGGAAGAACCAAGTGACTATAGTATTAGGGGGTTATGAAATACTTGCCCAGGTGAATCACAGTAGTAAATGCAAGTGTTATTGTAACCTTTAATTCCAACTGAAATTGGATTTGAATTGTAAGTAGAGTGCAATTTACAATTGATGGAAACGTAAAGTTTAACTCATACGTAAAGTCATTGGTGGAAGAAAGTAGTTCTATTCATAAACATGAATTTACCTTGTTTTAGGTCCGAACCTGTAAACCAAGCGTGTAGTAACCATGGTATAAGTGGCATAATACACGAAAATCTGTGCATTATATGTACGCTTTAAAATGCACTTTGCGGATGCAGCCACCCGCCACAGTGTTGGATAACGCACGGGTAGGTGAAGGCTGCTTTGAGCTTGTGGTTTGGTTCACCTGGGTGAAGGATTTGTGCTTTATTGAATAGATTACCACAAATAAACAACTGACTTAAATAAATGCATCTTGTAATGCCCTGGACAGGTTTGCTGGTATAGTATCCCAGACAGCACAGGGACACGAAGCTGAGCTACGCATTACTGGATGCTATTATCTCTCAGGGCACTAGGGATGGTTAAGATTCACTGATTTGCATCTGTGCATCGGTGCACCGGCATAAAATTGCACGATGTGATTGGCTGATTAATGAAGTGTGCACCGGATACAATTCCGGATGAACTTGGGATTATAGGCAGACTTTGATGAAAAAAAAACGCTTTTTGCTTACGTTACATGTTAACGCACGTATCCACACGCAACATATTATTTTGTATATACCTTTAGGCAGTACTTCATTTGTGCCGGAGTTTGCTGGAACTTGCCCTGGGACCACTAGCTCAGAGCAATCTGCGCTCCGCTACTACAAATGCTGCACCCAGTGTAATTTAACTTAAAATTAATATTAAACACTGGAATAAATGCAAATTGAACTTAATAAATGTATATTTCAGAAGTAGTTTGTGTTGTATGGTTTTTTGACATTTCTGACACAAATTTATTAATAGGTCTATATAATGCTGTAAAAATGGATCTCCAGGCCATGATGCAGACTGAGATAGTTCCCGGTTCATCCACAAGGTGGCGTTTAATGCACCCATACCATTGCACAATTATATTACAATACATGTGACTACGAAGAATTATTTACAAAGTTGACTCCAGTCCAACCTGCCGCGCTGCCCAACGGTACTCCCAGGGCTACATTGCCCCCGTCTCAGGGGGTCACCCATCTCGGTACCGCCGCAAAATCCGAGGACTCCCGGCAGTCCTCTCCGGCCATGGTACTCTGGTACTCTGGTACTCTGGCTGGTACGGAGCCAGGTGGTCGCAGTGCAGCACGACAGTCCTGCGTCGCTCTGGCAACCTTACCCAATTACACCAATTTGGGGATCTGTTACAGGACCTCCCCAGAGCCCCTCCAGTGGCTGTCGAGGTTGGGTGACTGCCCCTTCTACCTGATAGGGCAGTACAGCCAAACAGGGTCCCCGGGCTGGAAGGCCTGTCCCCAGCAGCAGAAGTCATGCGCCCTCTGCTGTCCGCCAGTGGCTGCGCCCTGATGATTCCTGGCCAGATCATGCACATGTGCTCATGTGCTCCTGCAGCTGGTGCAGGTAGTGCAGTGTCTGTTTCTGGCAGCTCCGGCTCAGGGGGCGAGCTGAATACCAGCTCCACTGGGGACTGCAGCTCGTGGCCAAACATAAATGCAGTGGGGGTGTGGCCAGTGCTTTCCTGCACTGCTGTGCGATACGCCCACAGGACCAGGGGAAGGTGTGCATCCCAGGCATGCTGGTGCTCATTTACAAGCATTTGCCAGTGTTGCAGCTGGGTTTGCTGAAACCGCTCCTCCAGCCCATCAGGGGCCCCAAACTAGGACTGGACGATATGGCAAAAATTTATATCACGATATATTTCTTAATTTTGGTCGATACGATATAATTCCGATATCGATATGGACAATATTAAAAAGCTTCAGGAAAAAACTGCCGAGGACACACACAATGGATGTCTGCAAACTGAATTTGCAAAGTCTATAATACCTCCAGGCTCCTCCTATTAAAATTATATAATTTTTTTTTAAATAAAAACAGTACAAAAAAAAAGGTTCAATTTTTATTTGTATTTAGCCTTTACAAAAAAGAAATGTGAAATAAACTATCAGATAAATAAAACTCTCA